TGAGCACACTGCCGACACTCCGGCACACATACATTTGTTTACGTGTGCGTGTGTCCGCAGGACTGTTCCAGCCAACAAAGACCCATGTCACTTCTCCCTCACACACCGCATCACGCACATGCACATGCACACCATCGACAAACAGCTGGTACTGGTGGTACAATTGCAGGCTGTTCCATGTATCTCAAGGAGAAGAACCCCAATGTGAAGGTGAGGCATGCGCGCGCATGGGTGCTGTCGTTGTGTGTGTGTGTGTGTGTGTGTGTGTGTGTGTGTGTGTGTGTGTGTGTGTGTGTGTTGCGGTGCTCTTCGCACCCTAACCCACAAGTGTGTGCACATGTGCATGCGTGTTCTAGGTTGTGCTCCTCGATCCTCCTGGCTCCGGACTTGGAAGCTACCTCAAGAAGGTGGACACACACGAAGCGTGTAGTGTGCACATTGGCTGAGATGGTGCCCGCTCCAAACTATTTGCACCCCTGCCGCCTTGCATGTGTGTCCAACCGTCATTTCACACACACACGCACGCACACACACACACACACACACACACACACACACACACACACACACACACACACACACACACACACACACGCACGCACGCACTCACTCACTCACTCACTCACTCACTCACTCACTCACTCACACACACACACACGCGTCCATTTCCTTGTTTGCCAACACCAGGGCCTGGCCATACAGTGGTGACGGTGCTGTGTGACACAGGCGACCGGTATCTCAGCACCCTCTACAACGAGAAATGGTGTGTTGCTTGCGTATCCACGACCCTCCGCTGCGTGAGCTTGTCCTCAACACGGCCATTCCAGTGCCACTCACTCACACACTCACTCTCACACTCAATCACATACGCAAACACACACACACTCACTCACTCACTCACTCACACACACACACACACACACGCACGCATCAGGTTGGAGGAGAAGAAGTTGACGCCTTTGGAGAAAGATGTGAAGGATCAAACGCTTTCGTTCATCGCAACAGAATAGGGGTCAGCGGTGTAACAGAAGTAAACCACGCCTCGCTCGCCCATTATCACACACACACACACATACACCCATGAGCGAGGTGGTTGGCATGTAACAGCGTGAAGCTACACCAAAACACTGGCGGCAAGTAAGTAACGGCCCAACAACAACGCAGACCGATGGGCAAGGTAACTTCGACGCTTTGAACGAAGGGCGGTGTCAACAGAACAAAACCGAACGCAGTGTCAAATATCTCAATGATCCAACGTAGCCATGCAAGTGCGAGAATGCAAGAAAACACCAGGACAGTCAAACAGTAGGTCTCGCGCATTTAACGGAATCAACCAGGCAACGGTACGAAGCCCTGCCGGGAAACAACGGAACAAATGCGCGCTCGTCACGTCGCAATGCTATGACACATGTCAGACAACATCGGCATCACAAACACAACAACATCGGCATCACAAACAGAACAACATCAGCATCACAAGATCACAAACACGACATCAACACTCAAAACGCCAGCCATGAATCTTTGCAAGCAGAAAATCCTGCACACGTGCGACAAAAGCATGCGTGCGGCGCGGTGAGGTGGCTTCCAACACCAGGAGGACGCCGGAATGAAAGCCAGACTCAAGTCAACAGCCCTCCTTCCTGAGCCTGTCCCTCAGCGCCGTTGCTAGCTCGTCACACAACACAACCTCTACTTGTTGTCGTCAACTTGCTCGTAAAGCTGGTCGTCCTCCATGAGAGGGGCGCGTGGTGGGAGTGGCGGTGCACCCTGCTGCTGGCCGCTTTGCACGCCTTGCTCGGGAGTGGCAGGAAGAGGCATCTCGTAGGCGGGCTGCTGAGCGAGAACAGCGCTGGTGTGTGTGGCGGCCGGCGGTGGTGGTGGTGGTGCCATGCCTCTGAATGGCGCTGCGGATCGAGGCTGGGAGTGGACAGCGGGGACCATGTGCTCGCCCGCTGTCGGCGCTTTCTTGGGTGGCAGTGGCGGTGGCACCCCAGGCAGTGGCGGGCGGGCAGCTGGTGGTGGCGCGCTTGGCGTGTGTGGAACCACCAGCACCTGTGGACCAACTTGCGTCACTGTCTCGTACAGGCCCGCGTCTTCCACCAACTGCACATTCACAGGCGGAGCCAGTGGTGGTGGATCGGTGGCGTGCGCTTGTGCGTGCGTGTCCTCATACAAACTCTCATACTGTAGCTGCAGTCCGTGTCCTTTAGCTTTCTGGGGCGCAACACCCGTTGCTGTGGCAGTGGTGGTAGCGGTGGCAGTGGCAGCGTTGTCTGCGAACGCCACATCCTCGTAGTTGCTATCAGCTGCAGGTGGCGGTGCAGTAGTTGTTGCTGTTGTTGTTGCTTTTGTTGTGGGCACGGCAGCGCTGGTCTGCACTTGTGTCTGCACAGGGCGACCGTAGTCAGGTGTCACGTCCAGTACAGGCACAGCCACAGCGGGTGAATGTGCATCAGTCTCAGTGGAAGCAGAGGCCTGTGTGTCGCCTTCCTTGCCGTCGCCGTTCTTGTCAGTCACGATGGCTTTGGGTGCTGCGTTATCGCTGTTGTTGCTGCTGTTGCTTTTGCTGCTGTTGACGGTGTTGGTGTTGTTGGTGTTGCTGGTGGTGGCGGCTGCATTGCTGGTGGTGGCGGCTGCATCGCTGGCGTCCTCGTTGCCAGCGCCCTCCGGGGCATCCAGATTGCATTCATCGTCCTTGTCCCGTTGGTCGTCATCTGCACACGCAATCTCGATGTATTCCTCATGTGTGAGCGACACCCGCACGTTGCCCTCTTGGCCATCATCCTCGCCCCCGTCATCGCTGTCCATGTGCTGTTTGTGCTGGTCATCATGACTGTCAGCGTCAGCGAGGCTGCCCCAGTCTGTTGGGCCCTCCTCCGCCTTCTCCGCCTGCTTCTCCTCCTGCTTCCCCTCTTTTTCTTGAAGCTGCTGCTGTTCCTGCGCTTTGGTGCCGGAGCTTGTGGTAGCTCCGGTGCTGCTGGTGCTGGTGCTGGTCCCATCGAGAGATGGTGTGGGTTGGCCTTTGCTTTGGTGTGATGCTTCTGCATCCTCCTCATCTTCCTCTGGAATCGGCGGGTGGCTTCTTGCTTCAACGAGATCGTTCTCCACAAACGCCAGCGTCTCCGGGGCAGTTGTGCCATCGCCTTCAAGCAGCGTCGTAGCCTCTGCTGTCGAGTGTGTTGTCTTCAGCTCCATCTCTTCCCCGCCTTGTTCGTCAAGCTTGTGGCCGTCGTGGGCCACCGTGCTGCCATCGCCACCGACATCAGCGCGGTCCACTGGATCGAAGAGTTCGTCATCTGTGGTTGGTCCGTATGTGTCTGCCCAGCGCCGCTTGGAGGACGTGCGCCCAGCAAGGTCGGCCAGGTTCGCTGCAGTTGCCTTGCTGGACCCGGAAATGACATACCCTTGGTTGCGGGTGGAGATGCGACGCAGGAAAGAGAACCGGCGCTTGCGGTCGCGCAGACTGGACTGCGGTGGGACACCGCCCACGTCGTCGCCAGCCTCGCTGCCATCGTCGTACGTGCTGGGCACACGCGCATAGCCCGTGGATGTGAGCGACTGCAGTGCCTGCTGCCACTGCTTGACAAGTGCGTGTGCGTGGGGCCGGTCGGAGGGGCTGGCGTTCCATGCGTGCAGCATCAGGTCATACACCTGTGAAGGGCAGTCACTTGGAAGGTCAAGGCGGTGGCCGTGCAGCATCTGCGAGTAAGCCTGCAGACCAGACACGCTGTCAAAGGGGGTGGTGCCCTGGGAGAACGCCTCCCAGCACAGCACGCCAAACGACCACACGTCCCCTTCTTTGCTCATACGTCCTTGCTCCACACACTCTGGCGCAACCCTGCAACACCATGTCCATGATGACAAGCGTGCATGTAATGAGCAAGTCAAGGTAAGTGAGGACGTGTCGTGTGGGCTGTGAGTGCGGTGTGTACACACTCACTCACCCACCCACACCCACACACATGCTCTCTCCCCCCCCCCCCCCTCCACGTGCCAGCGATACATTTGCAGTGACACACAACAAACGATGCATCATCGCACCCACCCATCCCCCTTCCCTCGGTGTTCACACCCATGTCACTGTTCTTACCATTTGATGCGGGGCGTTTCGGGAGGCTGCAGGAGCTCCGAGTCGCCGAGCTTGCCAGAGGAAGGACAAAACCCAGCAATGCGCGCCTTGTGCAGGTTGGCAGTCACATACACGGCATCCGCAGAAAGCGAGCCATGCACCACGTCGTTGGTGTGGAGGTACTCGATCGCCTGCGCAACCTGCACCAGGCACTTGATGAGCACGCCCACACGCTCCGCGCTGTCCTGCGTGGTGAGGTGCTGTTTCACGGCCACGCGAAGCGTGCCTCCGTTCGGATACGCATACAGCAACGACACGCCCTCGTCGCGCGTGAACGTGTAGCCGTAGAACTGCACGACAAACTTGGTGTCAAGCATCGTCATGAGCTGTGCCTCCAGCAGCAGTTGTTCCATGACCTTGTCATCCATGACGCGGCCTTGCTGTGCTCGCTTGACGTAGAGCGGCACCATATTCTCCACAAACGTTGCCCGCCACAGCTCGTGCGCCCCGCATTTGACGTCCAGAGACGCCACACGGATGCTGCGCGGGTCGCGTGCGAGCAGAGTCAGTTCGCCGGCGTTGCGGCACTGGCTGGAGCGGATGAGCGTGGACCCGTCCATGAGCGAGGAGAAGGTGTCGCGGGCAGACCTGCACAAACGCACCTCGCGCTTGCGACCGCCAGAGCCCTGGGCGGCTCTTCTGCGCCGGACAATCAGCACGGCAACATTCACCAGCATCAGGATCCCGAGCACAGCAGCGAGCGCAATCACGGCAGGATCAGCACCGCCAGCATCACCACCGTCACCGCCGCCACTGCCGCTGGCGTCACCATTGCCTGCAGGCTCGACTGTGACGCCTCTGAAGGTGAGGCCGCTCTCTGCGTTTGAAGGGGATGCCTGTGCAACGAGGTTCCCGGCCACGTAGGCCGTGACGTGCGAGCGGCCAGGGGCAGGGGAAAACACGACTTGGGCGCCCGGCTTCGTGCTCAGCGTCTGCGGCAGCTCAACGTGGTCCACGTCAAACAGCACGCACGCAGACGTGCCGGCGTCCAGCGTATCGTACACCACGCTGACATCTATTTGTCACGCGAACAAAAAATGAGGGAGGCAATGTGAGGTGCAGAAGGGTTGCAATGAACACGTCGTGCGGGCACAGCTAACGTAAGAAGCAATTATGCGGTCAGCGACGCGTTGACCGTGCACAAGATACATGGCGTAACACCAGCAGTAGAGGAGCAATGGCGAGGACAATCAACGACAACCACACACACTGCCAAAAAGAAACAGCGACGGTCACATCGTGTCACCTGTCCAACAAACAACACACGTCAAGCAATAAGCAGACACAACACGATCAAACACAGACGAAACACCAAACAACTAAACAACATCAATCACTGTCTTCATTTCACAAAGACGCACCCGTTGTGGCGTCGATGACAACTTGAGTCGGGAGATCACAGGCTTGTGCGAGGAGCATGGATGTGGCGGGCCCACTGGTACCCCAAAGCACCACCACCAACACCAACACAAAAGGCATCAGCGACGCCACCATGGTTGTCTGGTTGTGATTTGACTGGATCGATCAGCAGGACAACAACAAGAGGACAACAAGAGGACAGGTCGTGGGTGGTTGGTGGGTGTTTTGCGCGTTGTCCTTCCACGCAGACGTTTATCGTAAATCTTCGACGAAAAATCAAGCCAAGAAAGCGAACAAAGGTGGCAGAGAGACAAAAAAGAAGAGAGGAATAAATGGCCAACCATCACACGCACTCACGCACAAACACACACACTTACACACACACACCAAGCACACACACGCACACACACGCAAACACACACACAACACACACACACCAAGCACGCACACAACACACACGCACACACACACACACCCACGCACACAACACACACGCACACACACACACTCACGCAAGCACACACACACACCAACACAGCATGCATCATGTCATGGCAACAGCCACTGGCTCAGAGCGGGACGTTGGAAAAGTCATGGGTGAGGATGGCCTTGTCACCCCACTTGGAGACAAAGAAGCGTCCATCTGGGGACATGCGGAAGGAGCCACCGCCCTGCGACTGGTCATGCCCGTACGACTGGAACGCCACCTCAAACGTGTCGGCATCAAACAGATGCAAGCCACCAAAGGTGATTCCAACCACATAGTCCATGCTCGGATGCAGATGCAGCGTGTTGGTGCGCCGCTTCACACTCCGCACCAGCTCGCCAGACAGGTTCCAGAACTTGATGTTCTGGTTCGAAGCGCGGGACACCAACAACTGCTGCTTTGGCAGCCACAGCACGGTCATGGGGCTTGATGCAGCCGACGTCTCGTATTCCAGCACATGCTTGCAGCGCGCGTAGGGTGTCGCCTCATCCAGCTTCCACAGCCACACGCCACTCTCCTCATCGCACGTCGCAAGCACAGTGCCTCCCTGTGGTGGAGTGCAAAACGCCACGCTCTGCACGTCATACTCGTGGCCGGCAAACGTGTTGATGGACGCGCACGCGTCCGGCGTGCCCTCCCCGTCAGCGTTGCCGGACAGCTGCCACAGCCGCGCTGAGCTGTCACCAGAGCCCGTCGCAAACTGGCGCACGTCCGGGTACTGCGGGTGCCACGCCACCGCGCACACCTCCCGCGTGTGGTGCGTTGTTGCCTTGCGATCATTCACATGCCCAAACACAACCTTGCACGACGGCAGTGCCACCACACACATGGACCCGTACTCGTTTGCCACCACGCACATGTCGCTGTTTGGCGAGAAGAACACGCGGTACACGCGGTCGTCAGTGCTGTTGCCGTGCGAGAACACGTCAGCGTGCACCTCCCCCGTCGTTGTGTCCACAATAAACATGTTCGCGGACCTGAACCGCCCACCCACAATGAACCGCCCGTCAGCGCTCATGTCATGCAGCGACACCTTCTCTGTTGCCGCCGACACGTCAAACGTCTTGACCTGCTCCATCGTCGCTGCGTCCAGCAGGTCGATGGTCGTGGAAGCACCGGCAACCGTGAACACAGCGCGCCTGTCGCCGTCTCCACCAAGCGACGCAATGCGGGGCGCGGCGTAGAACGAGAGCGGCTCTTGGTCACGATCCGTTGCGTTGGGGTCCGTGTTGACGTGCTCCACACTGAACACCGACACGTAGGAGAAGTTGGTGCCGGCGGAAGCCACCAGCATGCCGTCGGGGGAGGTGTCCTGCGCCCCGGTCATGGTTGGCCGCATCGCTTGCAGATACGTCATCGTCTCAATGTCGTACAGCGCCATGCTCTCGTCAAACAGCGCAATCGCTGCCACGGACCCGCCCTTCATCAGCGTGAGTCCAAATGGAATCGTACTCAGCTTTGTGTTGGCCGCCTCAGTGCCGTCGGCCTTCACCTTGATGAAGTGGGAGCCCGAAATCGCCACTGCATCCAGTGAGTCCGGCAGCAGGCACAGCCGCTTGATGGCCGAGCCTTTCTTGCCCTCCGCTGGCTCGGGTTTGTAGCGCGCAACCTCCACCAGCGTTCCTTGCACGGGTGCCGTGGCGGCTGCAACCTGCTCTCGTGTCGTTGGGGCGCCTTGTAACTCAAACCACACAATGTCTCCGCCCTGCGTCCCTGCAACGAGCGTGTTGTTGCGGACCTGCGCGCAGAACAGCTTTTCGCTGCACGTCGCCTCCCACACGCGCGTCTTCAGGTCGTCAGCCGACTGCAGGAACACCTTGGTTGGCGTGGACTCTGCAGTCGACACAGCCACCACCATGGTGTCGTCATCGGTCATACGCAGCTCGCGGAAGTATGTGCTCGGCTCCAGCATGTCGATTGTCTCCACAAGCTCGCGCGTGCTCAAGTCCCACAGGTGCACCTGCTGGGCGCACGCCGTCACCACCACCCCGCTTGGCAGCTGCACAATCTTTGAGATGCCCCTCCATTTCCCAGGCATCTTCACCCGCAGCACAGGCGTTGCTGTCAGCGTCTCCCACGCCCTCAGCTCGCCAGACTCGCCACCGGCCAAGACCCACTTGCCGTCGCGCGTAAACCTAACCGCCGAAACAACCCGGCTCAGGCCCTTGAGCAGGGCCACGCGCGGATCAAGCTGCTGTGGCTTGTTGTAGCGGCGCACGCGCGGTAACCTCGTGCCAGCAGTTGCATACACGGCTTGCGCAGCCCGGCAGACGCCCGTGTGGTCAGGGTACAGCGTTGCACGCGTCACAACGGCGTGTGGGGTGACGCCAAAGATGTGCGCATTTGCGCCAACAAACCGCGTCCACGTGGGTACCTCGTGTGTCTTGAGCAAACTCTCGGGCGCGTTGCTCTGCTGTAGGGTCTGGAAATCTGCCGTCAGCTCGTGCACCATCCCCGCTGTTGCCTTGGCCTCAATGAACTCGAGGTCGCACAGGGTTGTCGCGCACTCCTCCCACCGCTGCGCATGCATGAGGTGGAACGGCAGCACGGCCACCTTGCGCGCGTTGACCACAACACCGGAGCGCGGGTCATCGAGCCGACCAGCCAGCACCGTCTTCATGGAGGCCACTTTGCGATCGCGCAGAGCACTCGCGTCGTCCGTCTTGTCGTGCAGGTGGCGGCCGTGCTCCCACTTGCCGCTGAAGTAGTCTGCAAGCTCGCCGTGCCGCTGTACTGCCTGGGCTGCGGTGGTGGAAGTGGAGGCAGTGGTGGTGGACGAGGAGGCAGTGGCAGTGTTGCCATCACCAGCACCATCACCGTTACCGTCGCTATCATCACCCGTGTCATCACCAGCACCACTACGCGAGTTGAAGCCAAGGTAGCGTCGCTCCGCTGCCTCGCGGTGCTGTCGATGATACCATGCGCGGACAGTGACGCCGCCCTCAGCGCCACGCTCCACCAACGCGCCCTCCAGATCAGACACGATGCGTGCCCAGATGAGCGGGGGAACGCGGCGGACGGGCGGCACCCACCACTCGTAAATCTCGTCCAGGACGGTGTCGTTGCAGGACAGCAGATCCTCCATCTCATTGTCGCTCAGCCCGCCGCGCGAGGCAGAGAGGTACCCGAGCGCTGCCCGCACCGTTTCCTTGCCGTGTCGCGTCTCCAGCTCATCAAACACCTTCTCCATCAAGCCCTCCACCGTCTTGGGGAAGAAGTCGGGTGCAATTGCGTCTGCGTGGGTCCAGCGAAGCGCAAAGAACTGCGTGCAGATGCGGAGGTACAGCGGTGTGGGGCAGGACTCGTAGGCGCCCAGCACAACGCTGCGCTGTGCGGGGGTGAGGGACCGCTTGGCATCGGCCAGCCACGTGCTCAGGATGCCGTCTGCGTCATCTTTGCTGATCTTGGCCACGTGCTGCTGGTTCATGTCTGGCAGCGTGGCTTTGAGCACCTCCCAGCATCCGCCCACATCCGGCAAACTGGAGACGACGATGGCGCAGTTTGGCGGCAGCGATGCGAGCGGCAGCCACTCCAGGTTGCGGCCCTGGTCCTCGTCTGAGAGCTGGTCAAGCGAGTCCAGCACGAGCACCAACGGTTTGTCAGCCGTGCCAAGCTTGAGGGCGGCCTGGAACTGCTTGGTCAGCTTCTCAAAGTCGGCTGCTGGTGATGCTGCTGGCTCCTTGCCTTTCACTGCGCGGTGGATGTGGCGGTACACGTTTGCCATCAGGGTGCGGGCAGCGCCGCTCTCCCGCGACGTGCCCAGGAACCGCGACACCACAACGGCAGCTGGTTGGGCTTCCTTGATGGTACCTATGGCGCGAGCGTATGTGGCGTGTGTGTGTGCGTGTGTGCGTGTGAGCATGTGATGAAACAGAGGAAAGCAGAGCGCATCCCACAATGAGGACACGCATGAAGGCAAGCACAACAAGAGACATTCGCATGCACACAACACACATACGCACACCTGCGATGTGTGCCATTAGCGAGGTCTTGCACTGCCAGACGGGCCACAGATGGCAAACGGAGCTGCGTCTCTTGCCACTCGTGATGCGCTGTGCACGTATGCAGGGCAGCATCAGCGTCTTGCTGCGTGGCTGCTGTGACACGACCACGACGCCGCAGGTTGCCGAACATGGCGTGCGCCGCCGCCTCCTCCACCACCGTGTCGCTCTCAAACGCGTGCTCGCGCGCAACACGCTCAATGTCCGCGGCCAGCGTGTCGCAGAAGGCGTCGGCGAAGGTGCGCATGTACTCTGCGTGGTCGGTGTGAGCGAGGTCGATGCCTGGTCCCCATGGGATGGACATGGTCTTGATGCGACATGGTGACAACGCAGCCGGCACCGCTTCTGCACGCGATCGCTCCAGCAGCTGCTGCGCCTCCTCGTCCACCTCGCCACCAGCCATGTCGATGAACAGCTTAGCCGTGTCTGGGTCCAACGCAACGTCGATGCCCTCCAGGCGGCGGTCGAAGACGAAGCACGACTTGTCGCGCGCCTCTTTCGGCTGCACCTTGAACAGGCCGTTGTCAATCTCCTCCGCCGTCACGCTCTGCACGTACAGGGCGCGTCGCTCATCAGACAGCCCAGGAGCACCGGTTGCTGCCTGGCGCAGACACATCTGCAGCGTGGGGAAGATGTCGGACCACCACGCATCAGAGTGCTCCTTCTTCACGGGCTTGAGCTCGCGGGTCGGCGGCACGACGTTCTCATTCAGGACGAACCACTCGTCCATGTACTCCATGGCCTTGTTGAGTGCAGCTGAGGTCACAGCGGAGGCAGTTTGCTTGGCTTGCTTGGCTTGTTTGGCCATCTCGTCCTTCAGCAGCTTGAACTCCTCCTCGGGGATCTTGGCGGGAAAGGGGCGGAAGCCATACTTGTTGCCAAGGATGAGCACATAGCTGATGCCGCTCGATTCTTGCTGGCACCTCTTGATCTCCCGCATGCAGATCTATGAAACGAGTGAGTGTGGGAGGGGGAGGGATGTGGGGTGGTCAGTGTGCGCGTTGAAGCTCAGATTGAGAGTGGGAAGGGATTATCGGATTGCAAGCTGCAACCACCTCACACACACACTCATTCACACACACACACGCACGCACACACACACACACACAGACACACACACACACACGCGCGCGCGCGCACACACACACACACACACACACACACACACACACACACACCTCGCTGGTTTCGTGGGCGGCAGAGGCCTCAGAACGGATGCCCCAGCGCATCTCGGAGGACTGGTAAACTTGCACACGCAGGCGTTGTCCGAGGGACTTGAGGTACGGATACACGTCCTCGATCAAGACGTTGCGCTCCACCTCCGTGTCAGTGAAGGTGGAGGAGAGAAACAGGCGGATGGCCGGCTGTCGCGTGCCCAGCGCCTGGATCTCGCTGTCGGGAAGTGCGTCGCCTTCCAAAACACGCTTCAGTGTCTCACCTGGTCGCTCACAGGGATCCAGCTTGGCACGCGCAGCATCGTCCAAGCGCTGCTGCCATTGGTCGCGATCGAACCGCGCATCTTCCCACAACGATGACGAGTCGCTGCTTTGTTGCTGGGCTTGTGGGGCTGTTGTGGCTGTTGTGGCTGTTGTGGCTGTTGGGTTCTCCTGATTCCCACCACTGTTCTGCTTTGCTGGTGACATTGGCATTTGGCCATGCTGCCTTTGCTGCCTGACGTCTTCCATGACAGGCTTGCTCTGTTTGCACCCCATCTTCTCCGTTGTGGGTGTTGTGTTGTTCCGAGAGAGAGAGAGAGAGAGAGAGAGAGAGAGAGAGAGAGAGAGAGAGAGAATGTGTGAGGGGGGGGGGGGCAACACGGAATCTCTTCCGGTGTTGTGTGATTCTTCAAGCAAACGCGCACAACCACAACAAGATTGCGGTAGGCTTGAAATTTAATGTACATCTTCGGCTAATCATCGTTCACACAAGACCACGCCCACAACAAGTCGTACTTCACTTCATGTCGTGTCACTGCCGCGTCTTCACCACTCAACACGAGACAGCGCATGGCGCAAGCCAAGGACTTGCTGGTCATTGCTGGTGTGGGGCGATGGTGATGAGGCGAAGCTTGAACGAGTCGTGCAGTCGCATTTGCTGGTCAACAAGCAGAACAAAGGCCTCTTCCTCAAGGTGCGTCTGTGACGCGTGGGCGCGAATGCCAATGTACGTCTTCTCTTCCGGCTGCAACACAAACCGGTGATGCTTGAACTGGATGCGCTGTGGATGGGATGTGTACAAGGAAATCTCCACAGGCCGCTTGAACCGGTTCGTGTAGCCAATCCGTTTGTTCACGTGCTCATGTGCGCCTTCCAGCACAATCTCAAACGTCTGGTGGTGGTGGTGGTGGTGGTGACAGTTATGGCCGCCGTGGAGGCAGTTGGGGTGTGATGGCCGTATCGTGAAAACACAAAGACAGTCGTGCACGTTGTGTATGAGTGTGTGTGTGTGTGTGTGTGTGTGTGTGTGTGTGTGAAGACAGGGCGGACCGGCGACACTGGGGAAGGAGACAAAAAAAAAAAAAAACAATACGCGCACACGTACGCGACCACAACACGTGCATACCTTGGACACTGGTGGTGGTTGCACATCGAGGACGACTTGATATGAATAGACGATCCGTTTGAACTCCGTGTCAACCACATGCACAAGGTGTCTGAGGTGCGTGTGTGTGTGTGTGGGGGGGGGGTGGTGGTGAGCATGCCATCATGACAAAGCAAAGACATGAGCAAATGCAATACGTCGTAAGCAGAGTTGGGGGGGGGCACAAAGATGGGTGTTCACTAACTTTGAAGAGCCAATGGCCGTTGGATGCGCACGCATGCCAATCTCAGCCAGAGCGTTCCCGGCTAATGAGAACTGTGTCTTTGGCAGCACCTGACGTGGCAAATCAGCAATGCAACATGAGGACTTCCTGATCATGCAGTGTCTTGGCGCGTCATGCGAGCACACGCACATGTTAACACGCACATGTTAACACGCACATGTTAACACGCACGCACACACACACACACACAAACACACAATCACAGACACACAACATGCAAACACACACGCACACATACAAGCACATACAAACCTCGAGTTCGGACTCGTTTGCGGAGAAGACGCGTGCGTGCGAGATGGGCTGGCTTGGGCGAAACGTAAGGGTGGACGTGGCCACCTCCCCAAGATGCACAGTCTGCTCAAGTGAACCATCACATGCAACATGAGGCCAGCAGCTGGCGGGATTCGCGCGCGTTTGTAGACGCAAGCACAAATACAATGGAAGCCTCGCACCAGATACCAAACGCACAACCTCATTCGCACAACCACATCCGCACACACACAGCAAAGCACGCAGTTGCGAACCATGGTGTACGAGTCGACGGCATGCACAGCGACGCGCCACGTCATAAACGGCGACACGAAGAAGTCGTCTGTGTAGAGGAGAAGAAGAAACACCGACACATCCGGGGACGCGCCGCTCGAGCACCTGCACATGAGAGAGAGAGAGTGTGTGTGTGTGAGCGTGTGCGGCAGGGTTGAGATATCTAAGCATTGAACCCAACTCCTCCTCTACCATTCAATATCCCCAAGCTGTCGCGATTCCCGTGCAACAAACGTGCACAACGACCACAGCAAGCTCACTTGAGAACAATGTCGTTGACACCGTCCTGGTGATCAAGGTGCACGAGCACATCCGGGTCACTGCACAGCACCCCCGTTACCCTGTAATACAAGCGTTTGGAAGTGCGTGTGCGTGCATGCGTGCGTGTGTGTGTGTGATGCCCAGATTGTGAGGCGATGCATCTGCTCATGAATTCACGTCCCCACAGTTGCCTACAAGCACGCCCACACGCACACACTGCACGCTTGGTTTCAAAAGCGCAAAGAGCACTGACTCGGCGAGATGGGGAGGAAGACGAAGGCGGTGGCGGAAAATGGTGGATTGGGCGCTGTACAGGTCGATGTGATGATCAACCGCAGGCTCCTGTCCACACACACACACACACACACACACACACACACACACACACACACACACACACACACCACACATTGCATGAGGAATACACATTTGCACAAGCAGAGACAGACACACACACACGCGCGCGCGCGCGCACGCACATGTACACACGCACACACACGCATGCACATACGCACACATACACATACGCACACACTCACACACGCACACAAGCACACACACACGCAAGCGGCATCTCACCTGTGGGTGCACCACGACATCCGCTGATCCAAAATCAACGCCGTCCAAAGACTCGAATTTGAGCTGTCGAGGCACAAACACACATATGCGCAGCAGAGGCAAACAAGAGGAGGGGGGCACGTGGTGTGGTGACACACAAATAAGCAGTCCGCACACATTCAAACACGATGGGCTCTCGTCAAGTGAAGCAGGGCAAACAGAAAGCGGAGCGCACAACACAGCAGACCAGCATTTGTCAGCTGCAAAACAGACAAGCGATGGGCAGTTGAGGGGCGTAGTTGTGTCACCTTTTCGTGGATGGGAGGGGTGTGCCGGGTGCTTGCTGGCACCTGATGTGAGGAAGGGCCACGAAGGGTCACAGGTGGCAGCGCCGTGTGCGGGAGCGAATATTTCAAGGGCACGACGAGTTCCTCCAGAGGCCGCAGCATGACCAGTGGGCCATCACGTGTTGGGTTGAACATGTTTGGTTCGACGGGCCGGTCAAGCCCGCGCGACTGCAGCAGCGCCTTCCACTCCTGCAACATAGAAGCAACCAGCATTGCAGGCACAGACGGTGTGTTGTTGCGTTGGTTGGCAGTGTGAAACCGAGATGAACACGCATGTGTTCACGTGAATGGACGAGTGCACGCGCGAGTGTTGCCAAGAGTGTACGAGCACATGTGCATGTTGGGGGAAGGCGCATGCGCATATGTATGCAAACGAATGCAACACCGACGCGTCTCGTTCACGAGCATGTGCACGCCTGTGCATGTGCATTGACGGACGTGGTGGTTTGTGACGGCTTGCAGGTGCTGCGATGACGATTGCACAAGCACGCGTAGACACTGATCGTGGCTTGGGTTTTGGATGCGATACTGATCACCAGAACGGAATTGGGAGAGAGCGGGGGGGGGGGATGTTTGCCAAATCGGTGAGGCCATATGTGAGCACCCAGCAGCTCAGAGGTTTGTGTGTGTGTGTGTGTGTGTGTGTGTGTGTGTGTGTGTGTGTGTGTGTGTGTGTGTGTGGTGTGTGTGTGTGTGTGGGACTAACACTCCGGCGACATAGTAATCATGTCTAATACTGACTGTAATCCGCTGGTCTAAGTCCTGAATAGACCGAGTTTACCTTTGCGGCACTCCCGCAGTATATTGGGGGTTCTGTAAGCCTAGACACGGAGC